GTTATTGCAAAGAATGGGTGAACTGGTCTAGGAGTTGAAGACTTTTGATCAGTTGCTAGATTTGATGGTGCTTGACCAACTTAAACGTCGAGTTCCTCCTGAAATTCGAGATCATTTTCTTGATGAGTGGATAGAGATGATTTCATCTAAAAAATTAGCTGAAAAAAAACTTGATGCCTATGAAAACGTTTGCGGAAACTTTCAAAAAAGGCCTGTAGTGGATCGGCAGAAAGAAAGATACAATGCACTAACTCAAGGTAAATTGAGTTCAGATAATAAAAATAAAACTGAAAAAAAAAAAAAAAAAAATTGTCATCAGGATTTAATTCGCAAAGCTGGTTTCATAGACCTAGAAGTCCACGTCCAGATGATAAATATGAAAAACGAAAGACGCCACAATGCTATCAGTGTGGGTCCTATCAACATTTAAGACCCCAATGTCCAAAACTTAAGAATAGTACTGAATCTCCTGCTAATCTTAACAGAATTAGTAAAAAAAACAGAGGATAAATTTCTCTTACCTTATACTAATATGGGTTACGTAAATGGTCATAAAATTCCTATATTAAGGGATTCAAGTGCTAGTATTGATATAGTTTGTCACAAATACATCATGCCGGAAATGCTGACAGGTGAAAATGTGTGGGTGCAACATCCATTAGATTTGAATCCAACCTGTTTACCATTGGCTGAGATCGAACTAAATTGTGATTTTGGGCGAGTAATAACTCAGGTTGCCATTATTAGAAATGAAGTCAACAAAGGAAGGTTGAATTAGGCACTGTTGGATAAACAAGGAAAGAAGCCTGATAGTTGTCCTCACCAGGTCAATGCTATCTCTACTAGAGCTGAAAGGAAAAGAGAAATAGCTGAAGAGAAGATCTTGGAACCAATAAAAAAAGAAAATAAAGCATCCAGAGATGTCTTTGAAGAAGAAGTTAAATTACTGGAACTAAATACGGAAGACAAAGCTCTCATGAAAATGATAAACATTGACTCAAAAGAAGTTGCACAACTTCAGCTTACTGATAAGGAACTGTCTAATATCATCCAAGAAGTTGAAGAAGGTACATGCAAAAATGAGAACTATAGTCTGACAAGAAAACAGCTTTTAGTTAAAAAAAACGACGGATAAAATGGGCTTTGAAAGACAGCTTGTAGTTATACCTGAAAAACTCAAGCCGTCAACTATAAAGATGTGCCACGAAGGAACTTCTGGTCATTTGGGTGTCAAAAAGACCAAAGACAGACTTGCTAGATATTTTTATTCAACAAGGTGTTACAAAGAAACCAAAGATTTTATTAAAAACTGTGATGCTTGTCAGTACGCTGGGAAAGGAAATGACAAAAAGAAGGCTCCAATGGCATTCGTACCAGTCATTTGCGAAATATTCACTAAAATAAATGTTGATGCTGTTGGTCTCAGTCGTACAGACTTCCCTAAAGTGATTCAAACAGATCAGGAGACCTCTTTTGTCAGTGCTTTGATAGAGGAATTTTTGGAGCATTTAGGCATTAAACATGTAAGAAGCTCTGAATATCAGCCACAGAGTAATCCCGTTGAACGATTCCATACAACGCTAAAAAAGGTGTTAAGAGTGACTCCTATATTAGGAGCGACTTCTGGTTGGGAGAACTATTTACCATCAGTTCCTCTTACCCTCAGAACAATCACACATGAAAGCATTGGTTTTACACCAGCAGAACTGGTTCATGGCAAAAACCTACAAACGCCACTCATTTTACTTTATGAGCAGTGGCTAGAACCAACTGAAGAAAGTAATAATGTTGCCAGTTACGTTTTCGATCTTATTAATCGAATGAAGAAATGCAAAGAACTTGCAGTGGAAAACATGAAAGAAGCACAACGGAGGAAAACATGGCACGATCGAAACGCAGTGAAAAGACAATTTGCTAGAGGAGATTTAGTTCTTGTTTTATCAATGAATCGTCAAAATAAACTAGAAGTACAATGGAAAAGACCTGGAAAAATAGAGCAGAAAATTTCAGAAACCAATTACATTGTAAGTTTCGAGGAACAAAATGAGACAAATCAAGTATATCACATTAACATGCTTAAACCATATTACAAAAGACCAGAAATGATTAATATGATAACTGAAGTCTAAGGAGACTTAGAAATGGACATACCTCATTTACCTTCCAATCCAAGTACATTAAATTTTTTGGACATCATACAGAAGAATGAACTCGAGAAATAGAAGATTTACGAAAGGTTTTTATGGAAATATTCTGGTTGTTTTTCAAATAATCCCCAATATCCAGGTATTAAATAATGAACCAATAGAAATAAAGCCATACAGACTGTCACCCCGACAGACTGAAATTCTCAAAAAGGAAATTCAGAAAATACTTGATCTCAAAATTATAAAGCTGGGAGAATTGGACTATACATCTCCCATGATTTTGACAGAATCTTCATCAAAGGATCCTCGGCCTTGTATTGATTATCGTAAACTCAATGCTGTTACTAAAACTGAATACTCTCCTTTCCTTTGCCTAATATTGAAGAACGTATCGAAAACTGTAGCAAAAGCAAAATATATTACCCTATTAGATATATCTATAGGCTACTGGCAAATTCCGTTAACAGAAAGAGCCTAAAGATATGCAACATTTGTAACTAGTTTTAAAAGTTTCAGGCCTCTACGTTTAAACTTTGGATTAAAAAATGCCCCATACTTTTTTAGCAAAGTCCTAAATGACTAATGTCCTGGCTGGATGCGAAGGATTCGCTGTACCATACCTGGATGACATTGTCATTTACTCAGAAAACTGGGAAGGCACCTTAAAAACTTAACTTCTGTTCTAGACAGAATACAGAAAGCAAACTTATGACTAAAACCATCAAAATGTAAATTTGCTCTAGGGAGTGAGATACCTAGGCTATGTCGTGGGACAAGGACAACGAACCATGGATGAAGTAAAGATCCTGGCTGTAAATGAGTATCCTAAACCTAAGACCACAACAGAAGTATATGCTTTTTTAGGACTATTAGAGATTACTCTGCAGATACTTTTTTAGGATTAGTAGAGTATTATCGCCAGTACATACCGAGATTTTTGGAAATTGCACCCCTCACGGATGCTTTGAAAGGAGTAACAAAAAAAAAAAAAGGAAATATACAATGGTCTGAAATATGTGACAAAGCTTTTAAAAATTTTAAAGAGTTGCAATGCAAGAAACCAATTCTGTATACTCCAGACTTTGATAAAAGGTTTATTATACAAACCGATGCCTCAGATAATGGCATGGGTATAGTACTATGCCAATTAGATGATGATCAACATGAACATCCTATCTTGTATATAAGCAAAAAAAAAAAATTTACTAAATTTGAAAAGAATTATTGTACTACTGAAAAGGAATGCGCTGCCATCATCTATGCTATCAAGAAACTGCATTTTTATCTAGATGGTCAGCAAGAATTCTTGATTCAAACTGATTATAAACCTTTGGTCTGGCTACAATCCAACACCAAATGTAACTCTAGATTGATGCGCTGGGCACTCTCATTACAATCTTATAATTTTAAGGTCATTCATCGCAAAGGATCTTTGCACAAGAACGTAGATGCTCTGAGTAGAATTAAGTAATACAATAACTCTTAGTGTATATAACCAAGTTTAAAAATTTATTTTATTATTTAACATATGCTCAACTAATGTATTTGAACGTTCACCATTTTCTATCTAAATGTGGTGTAAAAGTATTTGTTGAAAACTTAAAATTTTGGTTTAAAGTTTGGAACTTATGAGAGAAATTACCTCCTCTTAAAATAATTGAGAAGGTCGAGCTCATAAAACTTTCGAATTTTACAGAACTTTTCCCTTCGGAAAAAGTCTCTCTGTTGGGTGAGAGGTTATAACAGTTTAAATATCGCTATTAATCTCTTGTGGATTTGAAATAGATTAATAATAAATAATGCACAGGTTACTGGTAATATTGAAATGCAGGCTCGGGAGCCGCATGGCATTTTCTCGCACAAAGAATGTAATTATTTTTTTAAAACAAGTTTGTATACTTTTTCTTCTCTTGTTTGTATGTTGCCATTTTTTTAGTGTAAAATAAAAGTTATTGCTGTGTTTTATCATTGGAGTTTACTTCAAATTGTTAAAGAAGTATCACAGATGGTACTAGTAACACAGCCCATTCACCATTCTCTGTAAGCACTAAAAGCAATGAACGACAAGAGATGAACTTTATTCTCTCACATCAATCAGAACAACTGTTTTCTGACCTTAACTCAAAATGGTTGGCAAGCACTTTGGTTTTATTTCACAATGGGGACTGCAACATAGCATTGTTGCATCGCACTAGGAGGATAACATAGCAGATGTTAAAGCAGAAAACAGACCCTTCCAATTAGTCTACATAAAAGATTATGAATATATATTTTTGTTCAAATGCTTTAAGCATCAGATCTAAGGCTTGAATCAGACAGCTGATGCCAACATCATAATGTACAGATTGCCAGTTGTAGATGCCAAACATATAGATTTATATAACATATGTAAACTTCAACAATACATCAGGAAAGATCATGCATGATAAAATTCAGATTACATAATTAAACTCAGCAGGAAAAATACTGTCAGAAATTCAAATAGAAAAAAAAAATAATAATCAATTTTCCAATGAAATTTTAACATTTTACAGCCACGTCATTTATTCAAAAAACTAAAAACAAAATAAATAAATAAAAATTTTTTAAATTAAAATAAAATTTTACATTTTAAAATTCTGATTCATTTCACACAGAGTAATTACTGATATAAATCAAAAATGAAAATTATTATGATAAGTTAACTGATTTTGAATTCGATTATTACTGTCAAATATATACAATATGGTGCATTCATTGGCCAACTAATAGAAAACTGACAGTGTAGTTAAATATTGTATAAATTCAGAATTCAGTTAAGGCAAAAGTTATTATTTTATGATGTTAGAAATTTTTAAACATAATTCAACTCACAGTAAATAAAACAAAGTATTTCTGATTTTTCTCCCCTACACAGTTATTCACCCATGGACAATGATGGTCCATTTTCCGTATGCATCTCTGACATACACTACAGTGATGAGCTCTTTCTGGTTTGATACAACAGCACTTGGGACATTTATAAACGACTTGACCATCACATAAACCCATTTGCTGAATTGTTTCTTTAGTAGCATTTCCACGAGGAACTGCACCCTAAAAATTTTAATAAAAATAAAATTATAAATTTACAAAAGTTGTAAAGTTTTTTAAATAAAAAATATTTAAAACTTTAAATTAGATTATTACTATATGTGAAATGATTAACTTTAGAGAATTCTTAGTAAAGAATTTAATCGTATATATATATATGAAACATTTAAAAAAAACAGACAGATATATTACTACAAGATGCAAACTTAGTAAAAATAAGATTTTTAAGGTAGTTGTTTCTCCTCCCCCCCCCCCCGTAGGTAAGATACTAACCAAAATGAGCATTATCTTGCCAAAACACATGCCCTTCTGTTACAGCCATATACCTGTTGAAACAGGTTTTCATTAATTAGTGCATTTTTTTAAACCTGTAATATTTTGTTTGATTTTATGAATCACCAAACTTAAGTGCAATTAATTTTTTTGAGCTTTTATTATTACTTTATTCAATATACAAAAATATATAGAAAATTAGAAACAAATTAGAATCTGAAAATTTTAGAGAATTCGGAATACTCCTGGAAAATTTTGAATGTTCAAATTCATGCAAGACTATCACTGTTATTTCGGAAGCATAAAAATGATTGTTACTCAAAACACTGCCAAAATTACTGGCAACTATAGCATCTCTTTCTGACAGATAATAAAACAAATACTAGATTTAATTAAAAATAAAATTTTTATTTTATAAAAGTAATGTTGATATATTAAAGTTCATAACCCTACAAAAGCTAAGCCACTGCCAATTTGCACAGTCAAAATGCTGCAACACCCAAAATTCCTTTTGAGATTGCAATGCTATAATAACCTCCTCCCAAAACTGATTACAGAAGTTTGAAATTTTTGAATAATACCATATCTAATCTTCACAAATGAGTTTCCATTAGCTCCTTTGTAAAGTTTTTGCGAAGACTTTTTAGAAGTTTGTTGTTTACAAAACTTGTCTCCACTGAGATACATTTAGGCATACATACTCATTTGTAAACAAATTTGAAGATCAGAAATCAGATCAGACTACCACAGAAAATGGTATAAATACATATCTGAAGTGATATTTACTTTTGTAATGATAAGAAATTTGCATTGAAAGGGACGTGTATATCAGTTTAACTGCAGAGATGTATCACATCCTTACTGACAGGCGGGTAGTGCCTAGGAAGTGGTTATATGCATTGTAGTAGCTGCTGGGGAAGTTTCAGACATGCCATGAGCCTTCTAGAATATTCAGAATTCCATCAGGATCATCAGCATTGTGAGGCTTATTTTCATTTCTGGTGCCTTCTGTGTACACTATCACATGCACATGTCATTTCTGAACTATTTTCTATATTATTCTGAACATTTCTGTCTGAAAATAGTGCAAATTCCGACAGTAAATTACAAAAATTGTTGAATAGTTATAATCATATATTTTCTAAAATTAAATATGATGTTGGTTGTATAAAGATTGAACACCCCCCCCAGAGTTGTACTAACTTCTGAATTACCAATAGCCTATAGACCATATTGAGCATCTCCTAAAGATGATAGTGAAATTAAGAAGCAAATAGATGAGTTGTTAAATGCTGGAATAATTAAACCTTCTTCCTGTCCTTATGCTTCTCCTGTAACTTTAGCTTATAAGCGTGATTAACAGGCAAAAACTAGCTTGTGTATTGCTTACAGAAAGCTTAATCAAATTACAAAAACTGATTCTGAGCCATTCCTAGAATTGATGCCGTATTAGATCAATTAACAAATGCAAAAATTTTCTCTACATTGGGTTTAACATCAGGCTATTGGCATATAAAATTAAACGAAAAAGATACTGAAAAATTAGCATTTACTACACATTTTGGACTTTATGAGTTTACTAGACTACCTTTTGGTTGGAAGAATTCCCCAGCTGTTTTTCAAAGAGCTCTTAGACAAATTTTAAACAAATATCAGATTCAATTTGCTTTAAATTATTTCGATGATATTATAGTATTTTCCAAATTTTGATGAACATTTAAAGCATCTTTAAAATAATATTTGATATATGTGAAAAAGAAAACATAAAATTAAAACAATCTAAATGTAATTTTGCTAAAGAAAAAATAAATTTTCTAGGATATGAAATTCAAGCAGGTAAGTACCAGCCCAGTAATGCAAATGTAGAGGTTATTAAGAAATTGCAACCCCCCAAAAATGTCAAAGAGTTGCAAAGATTTTTAGGAAATATTAATGTATATCATAAATTTATTCAAAATTATACTAAAATTAGAGCTCCTTTAACAAACCTATTAAAAAAAGGTACTCCTTATATGTGGACTACTGAATGTCAAATAGCTTTTCAAAATTTAAAGGCTGCATTAATTTCAAGGCCTATTTTAACTTTGTTTAATCCAAAATACCCTTGTCATGTATTTGTAGACACATCTAAAGAAAATTAAAATTGCACCAACATCTAAAGAAGATGTTGGTGAAATTTTAAAACAAGACCATCCAGATGGTAACCTACATCCCATTGCTTTTCATTATAGGAAATTAAGGTCTTATGAACAAAATTATGCAATTACTGAATTAGAGTGTTAAGCAATTACTGATGTCATAGAAAAATTTTATTATTATTCACATGGTAATCATTTCGCTGCGCTTACCAATCATGCTACTCTAGTTTGGCTTAAAAATATTAAATATCCTACAGGTAGTAGGTTATTTTGATGGTCTTTAAACTGTTGGTGGATTATATTATTATAATTCTACTAAAAAATATATGGTACTTTTCCTTTTCAACGGCACAAATCTCGCTAAGCAGACTTTGTTGGCGACAGCATGCAGTATACACATAAAAAATGTTAACAAATGTTAGTTCTAAGAATTTTTTATTTTGAAGGTATAAACATTTTAATATGGTTTAAAATTTTTTAAAAAGCCATTAAATAAAGACAATTTGTAAAAAGACATTAATTTAAGAATTTACTACTTTCATGGTTCAACAGCCTGATTCGCTGGTTCATATCACGTGGCCCCAAGTGATCTCATCTCACGTAAACTAGGCTACAAAAATCTAATTCTCTCAGTAATTATGTACATTAATTTCAAGTTAAATCTTAATTTGGAATACAAGTTTAAATGCAAGAATTATTTCAATTCATACGAATAGCTTAATCAGAAATTATGTAAAACCGCAGTGCTTTACTTAGCTAGGGCATTCTCATTAGAATTGATGAATTTAACCCTTGATTTTGCCTTTACTATATTTTCGTCTTTGGGTGAGCAGTGTGATTGCATCCTAATTGACTTAATTAACGCGAATGTTCTTAGGGCATAAAATTTAACTAGCTTGTAAAAATTCTATGTAATTGTATGTCAGTACTGAAAGAAACAATCAATCTGATAAGAAATGGCTGCAACTTGTTTTGAAAATGAAGCGTAAAAGGTTACATGTGAAGATATTCCGTTTGGCATCAGTTGCACCATTATTGGCAACTTTATCATTTGCGCTGGCAAAACAGAAAAGTACCAAATATATTCACATTATAATTGAACATGCTATTAGGTATATCTGGACTTTTGCTTCTAAAAGTGCAACTACTGTTACTTATATAAATTGTTTAAGGCAAATTTTTCAAATTCAAGTGCCAAAGAAAATTTTAAGTGATAGGAATGCTGCTTTTACATATTCAAAATTTAAGCACTTTTTAAGGAATCTTAATAATGTAAAACAATTATTAACTACTGCAAATAGACCCTAAACTAATGGTAAAGTTGAACGAATTAATCAGACAATTATAACTAGGCTAAAATATAAACTAAATTCTTATCAAGGTAATATAGCATGGACGAAATTATTACCCCAGGTAACTGAAGAATATAATAATACTCCTCATTCTGTAGCAAAATTCCCACCATCATATTTAATGTATAGAAAAATTCCTTATGATTCCTTACTTCAAAATGAAGAAGTACATCCACCATCTGAAGAAGCTAGAAAACGTGCCCAAAAAAGGTCTGATGATTATGATAATGTAAACAAAGAAGGATATGATACTCATTATAAACCCAGTAATTTCAAAATAGTTGATTTAATAATATATGAAGAATTTCAATATCCTAATACCCATAAAATCTCTTCTCCTTTTTCAGGTCCTTACAAAATTTTAAAACAATATTCTGAAGTTACTTTTGAAAACGATGAACCTAATCCTGTAACTAAAAAGAAATCAGAAATTTTTCATTCCACCACACTTAGACCTTTTAATTCAGATAGTGAATTTAAATTATCTATTAGAATTCCTGTCTATGTCCAAAATTAATTTATTTTTAATTTTCCAAAATTTCTGCTTTAAATTTTTTTTCCTAATTATGACATTTAATATCTGATTTAGACTTTAAACCCTGTGACAAATTATTTTTCCCATTCTGCCTTTTTTTCCTTCCCAGAATATTTCCGCTCAAAATTTGCTGTGTATGTCTCCTATAGCCCAGAAGAGGAGGAAAGGAAAAACTCCACCATCAGATTTTTCAGATAAAGATGAACTATGACAAAGTATGACAAATATTTTTCAGAATCTTGACCTTTCCCAGTCTGGCTCCTGTCTCATCCTGCCTTTTTTTTCTTCCCAGAATATTTCTGCTCAAAATTTGCTGTGTATGTTCCCTATAGCCAAGAAGAAGAGGAGAGGGAAAACTCCACTACCAGATCTTTCATACAAAGATGAACATTTTTATTTCTTTTTTTGACACTAGGTTTCACACTATCTGTATTACTTCTTGTGTCCTCTCTTTAGAGAGGATATAGGAAGTGATAGCACAACCCGCTGCTCCCCTAGGGACACTCTTAAAATCCCCCTAAAATGTATTCTTATTTTTATTAGTTAGGACATTCAACTATGACCATGAGACTGACTTGGGTTTTTCTATATTCTTTACAAGTCACGATCCTCCAACTATAGTTTAGCACAGAAATGCTACCACACACACTAAAATTTTAAAAATAATTTTTTCTTTTTCCTTATTGTTGGGTAATATTTAATTACATTTTTGCAAAATTTAAAAGACTTTAACTTGATTATGCAAGTTATTTATCTTAAATTTCAGACTTAATTTTATATAATGAATGTGAAAGCTCACTACTCACTCTGTATTATAATGGAAACATTTTCATTAACAAAAATTTCAGACATTTTAGTGAACATTTACTTTATGAAAAAAATGTTAACATTTACTTTGAAAGACTTTTAGTGAACTTAAGAACTTTATGAAAGTACGTGAACATTTACCTGGTGGAACTATTTTCATAAAAAGACTTCTCAAACAATTTTCGTTGAAAATTCAAAAAGACATTGGAATTTTTTCAAAAGAATTAAGGACTTTTAAAATTATATTTGTCTGAATTTATTAGTTAGTTTATTTAGAAATTATATTGTTATTGCAATAATTGTAAATTAGGTGTTTAAGTATTACATAATCTATGTATGAGAAAGGTCATGAATAAGGACAGTGCATAGGCAAATCTACCGGCTATGTACTTGATGCTACTTCATGTCTTTCCTCATATACTAAACTTTCCCTTGCTTCGCCCATCCTTGTTTGCCACCCAAGCTCTTCTGACCTTTCGTTTGAAAGGGGAGGGATATCTAAGATATGACAAAATACGATAGCTGTTTTAAAAATAACTGGCTATCTCAAAATTAACATTCTAGATTGGGCACAGTAGCTTCTTAAGTCCTCACTTTAATTTAGGTATTACCCTCTCCATCCTCTAAAAATAATAATTTTTTCTCGACTGCATTATTTCTACAGTAATCCATATCATATGACTTTTATATAATGACGATGACATAGATGATTCAAAACATAAACTTAAACAATTTCTCCTAATAAGCTTCCAATACTGAAATAACTACATACTTTGCTTCTACCTCTGTTCTCTTCCTGCCACAATAATATCAGAAATCTAATTGTTGTTGAAAAGGCAGGATTAGAGTAGATTGAAGGGTGCCCCTTGTATTATCCCACAGTTGTCGTTTCATTTATCACCAAGTTGTTGTTTCATTTATGGTAACCTGAGTAGTTGAATGTAATGGAAACCCTATTATGATGTAATCGGTTGCGTGACTGCAGTGAATTTTGAATAATGGAAAAGATTTGTAAGGACTTGTGGTGTGTGTTATTTAGGAAGTACATTGCCTGTTTTATGGTTTAGACGGTAGAACGCCTAAATGTAGTAAGATTAATTTGAAGTTTCTGTACAATTTGAAAAGAAAGGGAAAAAGAGCATTACTTGACTGGTGTGTAAATGAAGGTTTACTTACATTATTAAGTGTCCTGTTTGTAGGAAGAAAATGCTTATGGTCGAACATCGGACGGTAACAGTGCTACAGAGGATATTTTTTACTCTTATTTTGTGAATTTATGTGGCGATGCCAATACACAGATTCTTGTTCATATAATTTTAGGAAGTTTTTGGATGCTGTTAAGGAATTTTGTTTGACTGAAGATATGGTAATTCGTAAATAAGGTAAGTAGATATTTCCTTTCGGAGTGCAAAGATTAATTTCCTTTTTTATGTTATTTCATTGTTTCATTTAAAATGTAGTTTAATGAGATTATACAGTCAAAAGTCGTTAATTCGGACACCCATAATCCGGAATGATCTATAATCCGGACCTCAAAGCTAAAAACTTTCTGCACATGCGCCGCTTTGGCACATGCGCACAGGGATTTTACGCGTGCGCGTAAGACCTTGACTACTGCGCATAATATATACCCTTTAGATCATAATTGTTCTTTATTTCATAAATTACGGTTTCATATTTTTAATTTTAGAATTTCTGCATGCCATCTTACGAGATTTAAACTGATGATCTATAATCCGGAATCGCCGAAGTCCGGGTTAACGACTTTTGACTGTATACATATTTTTGTTGGCTGCTTTTCTGACTTTTTAAGTGAATATAGTTCGATGGGTACATGGAGAAAGTCAAGGGAGTGCACAATGCCTACTTTGTGCAATTCTCCGATTTTTACATGGTTAAAGTCAAGGCAGTATGCAATGCCAAGTTTGTGCAATTCTCCGATTTTTTTCAAGTGAAAATAGGTCGTTGTACATGGATACCGAGTTTGTGTAATTCTTTGTCTCATTATTTTGGCGCAAAATCACAAGCCAAAATAACAAGTCAAGAATTTCACAAACTTGGTATCCATGTACCACCAAAAATAGCCAATTTTTGCCAAGGGGTACCCCCGTAAATATATTTTTTACTCTTACTTTTTGTGAATTTATGTGGTGATGCCAATATACAGATTCTAGTTCAGATAATTTTAGGATGCTGTTAAGGAATTTTATTTGACTGAAGACATGTTAATTCGTAAATAAGTTAAGTGGATATTTCCTTTGTGTAGTGCAAAGATGAATTTCCTTTTTTATGTTGTTTCATTGATTTAAAATGCAGTTTATTGAGATAATAAATTTTTTGTTGGCTGCTCCTTTGACTTTTTAAGTGATTATAGATCGATGTGTACATGGTCAAAGTCAAGAGAGTGTGCAATGCCTAGTTTGTGCAATTCTCCGATTTTTTTTTTAAATGAAAAATAGGTCGATGTGTACATGGATACCGAGTTTATGCAGTTCTTTGATTTGTTATTTTGTCTTTGTGTAGTGATGATTTTTAGCGCAAAAATCGCTGCTACACAAGCCAAAATAACAATTCTAAGAATTGCACAAACTCATTATCCATGTACCGAAAAAACTCGCCAATTTTTTGCCAAGCGGCACCCATAAATATATTTTTAACCAAAGGCACAATTAATGTGCCAAAAATTTGTGGCTATGGCATGTGTATTGGGTTGATCTTTACAATATGGTAACTGATAGTTTGGCGACATTTTGGAGGCGATAAAGGTTACTACCTGGGACTTTGGTAATAATGTGAGCAGTACTCAGTTCCGATTACGCATTATTTTGTGTAGGGGAAATGAGAGATCATGGGATATGTCATGTGATATTAATGGACGAATTACTGTTCTTTAATCGGGAACAAATCTGGCAATTTTGTATTTGGCTTTATTCTGTGTTGTGTGAAATAGTGTTTGTGAATTTTTGGATCCCATGGCCGTAACTAAAGTGAATTTGAAATGGGTATTTAGTGGTATTGAAAAGGATAGTAAATAAATGTTTTTTAAGGTTGTGCGAGAGAGAAATAAAGATGTTTTATTATGTTATTTATTTTACCTGGTATCTTGCTTTGAAAGATAAGTATGATTTTAAAGATTCTGAAACAGAAGGAAGAAAAGTGTATCCGCCACGTAATCAAGATTCTGAAGAAGATTAGGTAAGTTAGTATTTTTAATTATTTGAGGATATTATTTTTATGCATTGTTGTAAATGTAAGGTGGAAAGGAATTTGGTATTATTGGGAAAATTGTTATTAGCAATGATTTAGTTTAAAGTAATTAGGATTGTAAGGTAATTTTTATTAATTACCTTCATCAAATTTTTATATTAAGAATTTCTTTGTCAACATTACTGGCAACCACATACCAAAAAACTTAATTTTAGAGATAACTGACAAACTATTAAAAAAATCTTTTTTCTAATAAACTATTTGTATATGCATAATTAGGAGAAAATTTAACATATTAAATTCAGGCAAGCACGAAAAATTTTAATATACAATAACATCATGATTATTAACATAATGACAATACCTTTTTGTTATTAGAACATCACATATTTACAGTATTTAGTTTTTTGATACAATACTTAAGTGTAGCATCTATAAAACGATTAATTATTTTCTAAAAATAGTTTAGCTGAATCATATATGTCTATCTGCTATAGGAAATATATGAACTTACATTGCTAAAAAAAGTTATTTTTGCTTAACCCTCTAAGCGGCAAGGCCATATATATATATATATATACGGCCTAAAATATATTTTGTGATATCTGCAAGAATGTATATATACGTGCATATTAAAACACGTCAAAAAAATCAAGGCAATATATCAAAAGTACACAAATCCAGGTATGAAAATCCAGGAGAGCTTTTACATTAAAATCAAAAAAATAATTTGTTCTCATAGTAGTTTTGAGAAATTAGTGCTTTCTTAGTGAAAACCCTGGCTGCTCAGAGGGTTAATCCATTATCACACAAGTTGGCTATCAAGATAGGCATTAACTGGAGTTTAATAAGCATTCATATCAGTAACTGACTAAAAGATAATAAAAAGGAAAATTCTTACCGGGTCAGAGAACATAGTCCGAAGATGTGAAGTGATGGCAAGGAATGCGAGAGATTGAAACACAACAAAATTTACAGCACTATAATAGGGATGAGGAGAAGGTAACAGGATGATGAACACAACCACATACTCTGCATACAAAACAAGCATCCATGTCAAAACTGCACAAATGATTCCACAGATGTCCTGAACAAACCATAATCGACCCCAACAGCATCGATTGTTAGGATCAGCACCTGGCTCTGGTGGATTCAAAACAGATGCTTGTTGTTGGACTATTCGATTATTTCTTCTGCTGCTAAAATGAATCAATATAATTCTGAATAAACTGCTTTAAATTTAATAAATAATCTAATCTAAAAATTGCATACATACATATGATAGTACAACCTGTATTATTTTATAAAAGATGAAAATAAATTGTTGATTAAAAATAGCAAAATAATCACTGAATTTTACAAAAAATTCATATTCACAGGCTATCTGACTTCGACATATCAACAGTATCATATATTTAATTCAGAACCTAAATTATAATTACATCTGGAATTATAAAAAAAAAAAAAAAAAAAAACGAGTATGGGGATAGGAGTTCTCTTAACCAGAAAGGTTTTCATTGACACTAAATTTAATCTTTTTTTCTACTTCACATGCTATGAATAAACAGCAAATATCTACAGTGATTTCTGTTTTCAGAAGAGTATTTTATACTGCCTGATAAATACAGATATAAAGCAAAAACTATTCTGATAAACGTAAAATTTCTTTAGCACACAGTTTATAAAATATTTCGAATTAAATTTTAAACTCTTTAAATAACTTATTACAAATAATACACAATTATCCAACAGCGAAAATTCTGCATAAGAAACCCTTTTCAAGCAAGAATATCAAAGGAAAATTAAGAATAATCAAGGTGCGTAAAATGCTGCATAAGAGTCCCAATTTCCTTAATTTCAAAATTTTTATAGCAGGATATTAGGAAAACACGTAACAACTGTTCTTCCTTACATTCAAACTAACAGTAAAAAATACATCGCTAATAAAATCATTCGCAATTTTTATCAATATTTCATATCATATTCCCATTACCTACTGTACATTTCTTGAAAATCATTCCGTACAAGCTTATCTAATTATGATACCACCAAGATATACTTATCAGTGCATACTTACCAGTCCAACCTTCGTGCCATGAAACGGAAAAGCTGAAACCATAAACAAATCACCACATCATAACCGAATTATAACTTCACTGTGAGAAAAGTTATATTAGAATTTTTTACACTTCATTCACCCCACATATTTACAAATTATTGTAGAAGTAGAAGTGAATGGAATTTACTGTTGCCAAGTTCTGAGTTACGTCTGTCAACGTCGTCCTATTTCTAAAAGATGCAGCTTCTCAGAAACTTAACATGTTGAAAAATGATAAATATATTATTAATAATTTAAAATTTAAGAATATATTTCAAGATACTAAAACCCGTGGCGTATTATTATGTAAAAAGTACATAAAACTGTGACATAAATATTTGTACATTATCGATTATTCGTACAGTAATCCTTACTTAAGGCTCCTATATACCAGGCTGAATCATCAGGCATTCGCGATCCCAAGTGGGAGATTTAATGGCGGCTGTGTAGTTACGGTGCAACAATTTTTTGTGTTTTTTTGTGTAAAATGGGCGGATGTGCAGCTATTAATTGTTCAAATCATTCACGGAAAGGTCATACATTGGTAAAATTTCCTAAAAATGAAGAAAGAAGAAAAATATGGGTAAATAATTGCCGAAGAGACAATTGGAAACCTGGTCCAGGCGCTGAACTTTGCTTAGTAAGTATAATGTTAATTACGCCTTCATTTAGAGTTTATATCTTCTCTGATGTTTATAATGTGCAAGTAAAGTGAAATTCTTGTGTACAATAACCTGAGTATCTGCTAATTTCTGTAATAATAGCTATAATTAAATTAGTCTAGGGTTAATGTACCCGTCGCCAAACATCGCCAATGTGGATGTTTTGAATGTGGAAAAGAAATTTCTCTTCTAATATAAAGCGCAGATTTTGTTTTCCTGTGCTAATTGTGGAATTTATACTAATGTAACATGAAAATCATTAGCATATTGAAATTTATTAAAAAATAAATATAATTTGGAAAGTCAAGATAAAATCTGAATGTTTGCTAAAGATATATGTAACATTATACTATAGTTGCAATATCGTTGGAATGATATATAATTTTTTTCTTTATTTTATAATCACTGTTGTTAAAAAGTTAGATGAGTTGTTTATGCACGGTGCCCACTACTGTTTCTTGGTTAAAATAACTTCCAGAATTTTGACATTGACATCTGAAGTCAATAGAATAAATTGAATAGTATGAGACAAAATATATATAATCTGACTTCAATAATTGCAAGTACCATATATTTATAATCACAGTATTATACAATTTGGCAATTTTAAAAAGATAATAAGAGTAAAGATTTAGAAATGAATGCAGAACATTCAAATAAGCACAGAAAACTTGTGAAACTGCATGTGTACTTTTCAAAAATAATTGTAGTGTTTTTAATGCATGTGTAGTGTTTTTAATGCATGTGTAGTGTTTAATGCATGCATAACAATCAAATAAATCTGCCTGTAATGATGAATTTCAAAGGCCAAGCCAAAATCCTTTCATGAATTTGATACTTCTAAAGAATGTGATCTCCTCAAATTAAATCCTCATGACATTGATAAACAGTTATTACTGATCTGTGTTACAAAACAGATTTTTATACATGATAAATAATATTTTCTGAAGCGTTATTTTGTGTTGTCATCTCTAAATAAAAAATTGCCTACAAATTCAGAAAGCTACTGAACTACGTTCTAGAGTTTTTAATAACTTTAATTGGATATGTCTGTGCCGATGTAATTTAAAAAATTGTCGTTTAAACTGGCCTTGATGCTTTTTAAAATGCATGTTGGCACTGTGCTCCGAAATTAGGCTATGTTTTGAATGATTAGAGAATTAAAAATTAAATATTTCAATTAGAGCAATAAACATTACTACAATTATAACAAGAATCATAGTCTGCTCTAATTATAAATGTATTTATCGGCCTAGTATCTTAAAAGTTGGGTGAAGTGAACTCTTATTTTCTTATCTATTGTAAGAGCACTATAGCAAGAAATATAAAGTTTTATTTTAGTTGTTTTTAATGTTATAGCAAAACACTACTTCATTTAATTTTTGGATAATGTTCTAAAGAACACCTTTAAATTATAGGCAAAAAATAAATATTGGATAATTAAATTCTGTCCCAAGCTTACAAGATGCTGCTGCTGCTGATATGTTAGACATGGTTTGTTTATTGTTTCAGTTTTTTATAATACTGGGCCTAATTTAATTACCTGCATATTTATTTATTGCCTATACTTACTTACAGTTCATGCTTGCTGCCTTTGGCACAACCTCACTGTGTGGTTTGTTTTTTTTGTACTTTTATTTATTTTGTGTACTTTTTTTTTATTACTTTATGTATTTACAGGATCATTTTGAGGAATCTCAATTTGAGTCACTATGCAAAGATAGAAAAAACTAAGAAAAAAAACTGCAGTACCAACACTCTTTAGCATTCCAAATCCACCACCATCTGTAACTGACAAGAGGATAAGAGAAGTAAGATGTCCTAAGCCAAATACTGAAGTGGTAAATTATTTAATATTCTCCAAAAAAATTGTTGAAAAAATCATTGTTATTACAAATATATTAATTCATCAAACCATTGTTTAAAAAAATAATCACAGCATAACATGTTTACTATTTCTTTTTGAATTTAGGAAACTCTACCTGCTTCAAATGAAGAGTTGTTAAAAAAAATAGAATTCCTTGAGCAACAGCTTCAAGAAAAAGATGCAAAATTGACATCATTTTTGTCCGATGAGCAAGTAGGAGCCCTTGCTGTGCAGTCAAAAAGGAACTGGTCAGAAAAGTCCATTATAAAAGGACTGAAGATGCGATTTGCTTTGGGCAAACATGGATATAATTACCTCAGAAGTACTGGATATCCAGCACCATCGTACAGTACCTTGAACAGGAGGATTAGGGAAATAAAAATAAATTTCGGCATTTTAGAAAATTTGTTTTTTTTCCTCAAGACAAAAGTTCATTCATTGGATGCTCTTGATAGGAACTGCTGCCTTTTAGTTGACGAAATGGAAATAGCTTCATATCAAGATTTTGATACATCGTCTAAGTCATTCATTGGAAATGTTACGTTAGGAAAACCTGCAGTTGCTAAGCATTACACTATTGTAATGCTTAGAGGCCTTAAAACATCATGGAAACAGATTGTTGCCAATGAATTAACAGGGCCTTCAACATCAGGTTCTGACATGAAAGATCTAATTCATAGAACTGTAGTAGCAGCAGCTACAGAAATAGGTTTAACTGTAAGAGCCTCTGTTTCAGATATGGGAAGCAATAACAGAGCAATGTGGTCGTCATTGGATGTATCTGTCTCTAGGACAGATAGGAAGACAAATTACAATATTGGAGGACCTGATGTTTTCATTCACAGTATTGCAGATGTACCACATCTCATTAAAAACATGAGAAATGCATTTCTTTCAAGTATTATGATATTACCAGAGGAATTTCGCCAGCAGCATGCCTTGCCATCGAGGATAGTATCTTCAGTGTATGTGAAACGACTCTGGTCAAGTGAGATAGAATCAGATGCTGCCCTGAGATCTCTACATCACTTGAACAGAGTTCATCTCTTCCCAACACACTTTTCCTCGATGAATGTGGCATCTGCTGTGCAATTGTTTTCTGTAAAAACAGCTGCTGCTATTGAAAAAGCAGTTATTTTACACCAAGTTGCAAAAGAAGCATTAACTTCTGCATGGTGGCTGAGACTTGTAGCAGAATGGTTTACAATTATGACTGCAAGGCATCCAAAAAAAGGCATCACTATCAAAAATCAAGATGAGAAATTTAATATTTTATTGAAATTCATTCATGTGACTGAAACTGTTCAGTTTGGAAAAAGCATGGAAGCCATTTCAAACTGGCATTATTATGAGCACATTGAGTGTTGTGAAACTCTCAAAAGAATTATTTTCCGAGGGGTTTACATTTTTCTTACCAGGCAGGTTGACACAAGATGCGCTGGAAAATGCCTTTTCACAGATTAGACGAAAGTCGGGTGCAAAGCCTACTGCTTTGCAAGCCAAGAGAGCACTGAAATTAGTGTGCCTATCACAGTTCATTTCAGATATCAATAATCCAAATTATTGTTCTGAAAGTGACCACAGCCTCTTTGATGCTTCTGAATTAGAGGTTGCTATCAGAAAGGAGGTCTTGCATCCTATCTCCAATTCTGTAGTGCCATCTACCTCTTCTGCAGTGGCAGTGAAACGTCGCTTGCCCCCAGCTGTGGAAGAAAATGATATACATTACATCGCAGGAGCCATATATAATAAGTTGTTGAAAAAAAAAAAGCATATGTGAAAATTGTAAAACAGCTATGACCATTTCAGAGGACATGCTGGAACCTGACATACCCGAGCATCGCACAATTCTTACAAAACATAGCAATAAAGGTGGACTGAAGGTCATCTCTTCAGGAATGTATCGAAATATGTAGGGAAGCTGAACGAGAATTTCAAAAATGTAAAGATGTACTCCTTCGTTTACAATCAGCCATCACAAAAGAATTAGTTGAAAGAATAATTGATAAATGTACGCATGTGGCCATGCCAGAATGCTGTAATCTTAAGAAAGTAATTATTGATAATTTTTTTATTACTAGATGCAAAGGCCTTACACAGCATCTTATCAACAAAAGAGCCCATAACGTTTCATATTCATCAGCATCGGCCAATAAGAAACAAAAAGTAAAATAATTTTAGAAGGTATGTATGTTTTATATTAAATAATTTATGTGTTTTATGTAATATGTATTACTTTTTCCTAGGCTACGAGTATATAAATTTCTGTGTTTGATGTTATATATGTTACTTTCTGCTAGGCTATGAGTATATTATTATGGTATTATTTTCTTGTTTCTAATATATAGAAATATAGCATATTTTCCAGTATAAAATTTCAGTTAAGTTTTACTTAAAAGTATGGGAAAGCAGATTTGTTTCATGCATGATCTTTATAATACTGGTATGAAATAAAATGAATTTTAATCTGTAAACAATTTTTTGTTAATATTGAAATGTGTTTCTTGGATACATTTTTAGGCACTTGTGGATCATGTCAGACAACATGCAATAGAGAAAAGATGTCCGTGTGCATAAATTTTCCCATTGTGTTACTTCATTTTATCTAAATTTCAAGGATAATTCTTTTCATTTTTATATGGCATGTTATCAGTATAAAGGCTAGTGAAAATAAATTGGTATGTGTATCTGTTTTTGAAGTGTAATGCTTAAATAAAAAGATGGTGTGTGTTTCTTCATTTAAACAAAAATTTCAAGGATAGTATTTTTCAGCGTTGTACTGTTTGTTATTTCTCAATGTAAAGGGTAACAAGGGGAAAAAAACTGGTATGGTACATCTGTTTTTTAAGCATGATAATTTTATTTATTTCTTTAGTGATGCATATATATAGAGAGAAGGTATTTGGTCCAACTGAAGTTATAATAAATCTAATTTTACTAGATCTCTTTCTCCCCTCAGGTGTAGAAAATTTTCAAATGCAGAAAGTTTATTTGCAGAATTAATTCATTTCTGATAAACTTATTATCATTAATTTTTTATATAACATGTTATTAAGTTACACGTTTGACTACTGTGTAATAAACTTGTATTTAGGGCAAAAAATTAACTATTTTGCAGCTGGTGACTAATATCATATGCTTCTAAGAATATTACTTTTAACTTTTTTCATAATTTTTGTATTTCAGGAACATGAAACTGTTATTTTGATATACTTAAATAATAAAAGTGTGTATCTGAATCAATTAATGGATACAAATATTTTACAGTTATTTTTAGAAGATATTTGCCATATCGCTTCTAATAATTCATAAAGTATGTTAAAATATAGGTAAATAATTTGGTGCAGAATTCAAATTTAGGGTTTGAAATATAGTGAATCATGAGACTAAATGATTTTTATTGTCATGATTTGCCTGGGCTTAAGAATGTACTTTTCGCCCGGTGGAAATTGTCATCAAACTGTCCTGAACAGGCTTTTTGTTGATAATAACTTCCAGGCTTATCAGTACCTCCATTTGAGTGGAGGGTATACAAATATAGTACCCAATTTAAATTACATTGTGATTATAATAATATTGTGGTATTAAATAAGTGATTATAATTACAATTTAGATAATTGCATTTGAATTATATTACATTGTATCTGTGAACTCTTAATTTCATTACTTTATGCAATTATGTTGTAAGTGCATAATCTAATTGCAATAATATAATCTATTCACAATTACAAAATAATTATAAATGCAGTTACATCTTAAATAGAGGCCATTTTAATACTTTTAAATTTTTGCAAGATAACTTCCCATTAAGGTTCATTTGGAGGAAACTATGCAAATACTAAAAAAGAAATTATGCTAAATTTACATATTTTGTACAGTAGTTTCTTGTTATAATGCTGTTCAATATATCTTCAATACTTTTGTAAATTTAACGACATTCATTTGCAATCACTGTGGTGCTTTAAAAAGAAGTTTCTTAGTTATGCTTTCTAATAAGAATGTGTTAAAAATTAAGTATTATGTATAATAACTAGCAATTAAAAAACCTTGACTGCATGAAAATGCTGTTGCTGTGTAAAATAGAAAATAAGCTTATGAAAGATAGAAATAAGCTATTTTATGACTATTAGAAATTTTGAATATTAGAAAATAAGCTATTTATGCTTTGAAATGAATTACGTGGGGTTAAGTCGTCCTTTTACAATTTAAGAATGTGGTTAACACACATTCTTAAATTGGACAGGTTTTATCTAAATTATTAGTATAAAATATATAAACTATGAATTATTTTTGTAACATAACTCAAATTACAAAATTCATTCTATATACGTTCAAATTTATTATCTTTTATGGAATAACTGTTTTTTAATTTAGGTAAAAATTGGATTTTTAGAAGTATTACAAATACAATGCAACACAAAGGTGATCTGATTGGAGAGGAAGGACTTTTTATTACGGTTTCTAGTTCGTATTTATATTACATTTGGTGAAAATCATCCAAAACACAGAATGCTGTACTTTCTTCTTCTTCATATATGTTATGAAATATTTCACACATTTAAAAGAAAGTGTTTCTTCAGAGTCTTGCACAATTATTTCCATATACCTCAGACTAAAATGACAACATATTCTTAAGTTATTTTTTTTTAGTATGAATTTACAGTGTTTTTATGGAAATTTTTGTTAAAATGTCATTAAGATAAATTTATTTGCACACTCTACGCTTTAACTATTTCCCCATTTGACACTATTGAAAGTTTTTATTCATATCTTATTTATTTTAGTCTGCTAACAAAACTGAAACATCTAAAGAATAAGTTATTTTGAATATGTTTACAAAATATACGCGAAATTTTTATTTAAGTGAAAACGTCTATATACTATTCGAGAATTAATAAATTATCCGAAAAGTTTATGTGCGCTGAATGCCGCGCGTCTATAAAATAAATCTTTAAAAACAGCAGACATTCAGCCAGCGTGTGCGATAAACGCGCCAAAATTGGTAGCGCGGTCCCTCCCTCGCCAAGAGAGAAAAGTTAGTGATTCAGCCTGGTTTAGAGGAGCCTTATCCTTACTATATGAATAATCGAGAATGTGCAAATATTTATGTCACAGCTGAACTATAGTAATTACTATATCTATGGTAGAAATGCCATTCTTCTAATTTGTTCTTCTGTCACAGCTTATTTAAAATGTAACCCACTAGTAGTTATCGTAAAAAGATTCATCTCTGTTTAAATACTATAAAATAATACTGAAAATTATTTTTATTGTTTCCAAGAAAACAACAGAACTGGAGGACGACATTTTAGTATTTTAGCAAGAAAACGTAGACAATGTTGCACATTTTTACTTTAAATCACAAATAGGCAAACTGAGAAAATAATTTTAGTTTACGCCTACCTTCTGAACGTGAAGGTGCTGCTATTCTCGTTCTGTACAGTAAGACTTTTCGTTGTGTCGTCAATGATTCTGCTTAAGGTTTCTATTGGAACTTCGGTTTGAAATTACTGTAAAACAAAGAAACCTAACGTGGTTAAAGAATATAGGGCTATATTCGAAGAACAGCCTTGGTGGCGATAATTTGGATCCTTTTATAATATCTATTATTAAAAACTTATTTTTCCGTGCTTAATCTTAAGCATTTTTAAGACTTAGCTTTCAACTACTTGAGTGAATGCAGTACGACTTTAATGGGAAGAACACTACCGAATTTAACAATTGATTTTCTTTTTTAACTGCTGATTAACCAGTCTTGATAAGATGGAACGTGCTTATAATTTAGCGCTTAATAGTTTAACCATCAGTATCAAACCGATACTTTGATACTGATGGTTAGGCTGGTGTCAGCGTGAATTTCATCACGCTATTACCAGGACCTCAGTTGACCCCGGCTAGGAGAGACCTGACATGGAAGACCTATAAATAAATACTATAATGAATGAATGATACTATACTATAAATACTATAATGAAGATATACTATAAATGGGTGAATTGCAGATGTAAATGCAGAATTTCTGGGCTTGAACTCTTTAAAAGCACAGGACAATTTACGCCTGAGTTGTGAATTGGGGTCTAGTCTCGACACCGGTCGAGATCGATATCGGAAAACCAGTCGGCATTCCCTTTCCACTCGACAGCAGAAGGAAGAGTCTGGCCCCTTCAAATTCCGTCGGCGGAAAGTGAAGTGGAAATTCCGTGCGGAAGTGACGTTTATTGCATAGCAACCAGTCTATCTCACCTCTACATTGCCCCAGGCTCAGGGAAAGGGGTAGTTTGTTGTCAAAGAGGCTGTTTCGAATGTGCTTATTACTGAGGATGGCGGTAGAAAAAAAAATCGAGTTCGAGTAAATGGTGAAATTTTCGAAAAAATACGCTGCTGGATTTAGTAAAGAGTATGGAAAAAAGAAATGGGGAACGTTAATGGATATTTTAAACGCAGAAAGAAATGGCCTTTTCAAAACTTCAGGTATGTGAAGAAACGTAAACATAATTTTACGTATGATCTTTTGCAAAATGGAAATTTTCTAAAAGGTTACATGTTTGTAAATTATTTTTTAACAGGAATTTTATGATTAAAATACATTATTTTGTCTGAAAAGGTTATGCAACAACGTCATAAGTCAAATAATTGAAATATAGCACCGCGTACGCGTGTTTAATATTCCTAATGAATTTGAATCAAAAAAATTTTAATTTTTAGCAACCTATGATTATATCAATAATTTTATTTATTCAGGATTTATACCTATCACGTAGCTACAAATATACTATGTATCGTAGATACCAATAAGCAGTGAGTAAAAATATAACAAACTTTTAACAAAAGTAATAGGAAGAAAAATAAAAAAAAATTAAATAACTATAGGCTAAATCATAAAACATATTATCTTGCACACACGCACACACACATACACATATATATTAGCATATGCAGTGAAAGGAAATTGCAATACATATTCCTATTTATACCCTTTTTAAATCGATCCCACCAGTAACCGTGTGGTAAAATTGCTGAACACTAGTTCGGTCCGAGGTCCAAATACTGCGAACTGGTTTGTTGCATATATCTCTGATAACCAATATATCTGTCATTACCAACATATTTCTCGTAATTTCCAAAAGCATAAAAAATTAAGGCATACAAAACCTCTTTTAAATAAATAACTATATGTATATATAAATGTATTATAAATATATTAATATATGCAGTGAAAGAAAATTGCAGTACATATTCCTATTTATGCCCTTTTTAAGTCGATTCCACTAGTGGCCGAGCGGTAAAATCTCCGGACACTGGTAGTGCGGTCCGAGGTTCAATTCCGCGAACGGGCTGGACGCATGGGCGTCATTACCAATGTATCTGTCATTACCAATATATCATTGGTAATGACAGATATATCATTGGTAACTTCCAGAAGCATAGAAGTTTAAGGCACAGAAAATCTGTTTTAAATATATATATATATATAAAAAAAACAGTATAAATATATTAACAATGCAATGAAAGAAATTGCAGTACATATATATTTATACCCTTTTTAAATCGATCC